CAGCCGAGGCACTGTACTGCAGTGCAAATGTATGGAGACGGCTAAAGAGGTTAAAGGTGTTGCTGTAAAGGTGAAATGTAAAATTAATCAAAATACAAAGTAGGCAAGGAAACATTTTTGCAATTTTTTTCTTTTAATAATTTTATTTTCTGTGTCCAGTTTTTTACAACTAAGTTGATAGCTTCACAATTCAGTAATCTTCCTCAAGAAGATATTGCAAAGCTGGTATCTTCAGTTGCATTTGTCTCTAGAAACTCGGGTATGAAGCCTCTGTGCCCCATGTCTTTCAGTCAGGGCAATTATGTCTTAATGGTATATCACAATCTATTTGTTACTGGTAGATGGGAAACAAAACTCTTCTGTGCAAATACTGAGTATTTTATCAACAAATCCTCTTCTTTTTAGCTATCTCCCTGCTGGTGACAACTGTAATTAGCTATTGTCAGCAATTTAAAGAAACATTCAGAAACTTTATGCAAATTGAAGGTCCATCCCTGTAAGGTACCGAGTGCCTTGCCATTCTCAGTAACCTCAGTGGTTCTCAAGGCCATTGCAGGAGCCAATCCAACATTAATAGACATAGTGTAGCTGAAAATACTAACGCCAAAGAGAAGTAAAATCACCTGATGGTTTAGCTTCTAGCAGCATTTCCCAGGAATGTAGTAAGGCTGTGTAACCCATGCTGTTGAATGGATTCACAGCGTGAATGGCTTTTTCAGAGGTCTTCTCTTTTTTTCATAATAATATGCCTGATTAATGATGCTACTTCTGGCTTGATACTTTCTATGGGCTCTTCAGGTCTCCAGAATTTCACAACTTTACCCTCAGGGCTGACAAGGTACTTCCAGAAATTCCATCGTGGTTCTTTCTTTGAAGAATCTGTAAGAATGGCACCAGATCATTTTAGTGACTTACACTTGTCATTGTTTCATTACCCTGCAGTGATTCTTCAACTATTTATGTTGAAGTGATCCCACTTTGTTCTTTGCTAGTAGTCTGGGCATGGATTTACTGGTTGGTGTTAATGATCTGAAAAGTGGGAAGTGAATGATGCTCTCCCCTTCTTGTGAAACTATTTAAGAGTTCCTACTTACTACGCTCTGCTTCCTAGGGAGGAGGATATGAGGGCTGCATACTCATTTGGGGAATTGCCAGTTTTATGTCGGTTTAGGGGAAGTGAAATGGGAGCAGGAAGTCATACTGGTGATGGCTTAATTCAGCTCCTTTTGTCCCATGAGGCAAAACCTTACCGGTACCTTTGCTATCATGAATATCTGGCAAGATAATTTCTGAGATCAAGGGGCTATCAGGAAACTATGTGGCTCCTAGAGGAGGCAAAAGCAGTTTCTTGACTCTGGCTCTCTCCTTGGAGAGTCTCACAGGTTTAGAGGGAAATCGCTTTTTGAGAGAAGAACTAGAAAGAAACTCCAGAAGATTTTGGCTGGGCAACAGGTGTCCGCTGGGGAACAGTGCTGAACCCTACACTGATTCTTGGAAGCAATGGGTTGAATTTTGCCATTGGACTACACTTGTAATGTCATCATTGTAAGGGGACACCATGGCAAGCAAATGGGTATGGTAAAGCTCATGTCACAGAGGCTCTGGCCCAGCTAGTAATTATATCTTTGCTGAGTTGTTGTATCTAGGGTCAGTCTTGAAGTAACATAACCCCATCTCTGAATATTCTTTCAGTGTTCATTAATGTGTATGAATAACTCACACAAATACATAGGAAGCTGGACATTATTTGGGGAAAGGTGAGGCCACAAACCTTGCACTGGCCCAACAAAATGCCTTACTGCTATGAAAGCAACAAGAAGCAGTTGTGTAAAGGCCTTAGCACCATGTTTATGCTGCCAGTGGGTTCTTTTTGCACTAGACTATCTGACAGTGCTGGACAAGTTGTAGCTAGCAGTCACAGTCACAAGGGGGTGTAGCATGAAGATGTTCAACCTTCTGATCATCAAAACAGCTACATGAAGAAAATAGGTGCTTCTTTAATTGAAGATGCACAGTAATTTCATGTGAAGCAGAGGAATGTGGGAAAAGACCTTATTTCAAAATATTTAAGTATCAGAGGATCTTTCTCCTTGTGGGTGAACAGCATGTCAAATAAGAACCGAGTGAATGTGGCCTTTCTGTTTCTGTATAGGTATTAATGTCTGATACTGATTACACTGGTAGTTAGAATCTGGATTCATCCCACCCAGATGGTACCTATGTGCTCTAGTCTCCTCTAAATGAACTGAGAGGCACCTCCAGAGTGCATTCAGTAATTTCAGTGGGCATCAGGCAACTCGGAGCAATGAGGCTTTACCTGGGGGTCTTTGGTGACATGCCTAAGGGGAGGTAGGAAGAAACACAGTTACAGTGACAATGGTGACCACTTAAACGACTCCTAAATGATGATTATTTTCAAGTACATAAGAGATATCACAGAGGATATGGGAAGAAGCAACAGACTTAAGTGGTGTAAAAAAGATTTCATTTATATGTTGAAATAGCTTTCTGACATGAGGAGCTGTGAAGAACTGGAATAGACTGGGAGGTTTTGGAGTCTCTCATACTGTAATGGTCTGGAGAAGAACATGTAGTACCTATTTGGGTAAATGTGATCCTATCTTGGGGCAGGGAGATGGAATACAGGTTTGGGCCTTCTCCTACCTTATTTTCTAGTTAAAATGATGTTATAGAGAAGGGTTATGTTCTAAATATCCTTTCTTTCATATATCAGTGTTTAGCATGGGCCAAAGACCTGGCCAAAGCTCAGGAGAATTCAGAGAGGCTTAAGTTGGCCTTGGGTCTGTGGGCTTTTTGGTCAACTGAAGAGAATTTCATTTCACTTGTGAGAGTATGAGGCTCTAAGTCAGTAAATGCTTACTGTAACGCGAGTATTTGTGTGAGCGGGTTTTGCAGGCTGGGCCCTGAAGTTCACAAGACAAATTAATGCAAATCAGTGATTATCTGTAACTACAGTATACACAATCCTACTTTACAATACAGTTTACATAAAGGTAGGCATATGACTCTGCTAAAACATGAATCGTCTCATCTGCATGTGTTTATGTAAAATATTCCAGTAATTTTAAGACCCCCACGTAGTTCCATTTTTGTCCACGAGAAAAGTCGTTTTTCAACAAAAGTCACGTAATTTGAAATGGGGTTTTGTAGGGGGAATCTTTGCACTCAAGTTTATACATCCACAAAATGGATGTTTCTAGCTGGCCTGGTCACAGTAGTCTGTTTTTATAAATCAGTGGGAAGAAACGGATGCTTTCAGGGTACAACTCTTCTGACTGATTTTTTGATATCCACATTGAAATGAGAAGAATTGTATGCTGAGTGCCTGTTTCTCTCCAGAGACTATGAAGACTATGATGTTTCCTGACAAACAAACCCAGAGTGGAATTTAGGGAGAATACCATGGTTACAGGCAGCTTGATATATAAAAGAAAACAGTTACCTATTAGAAATTTAAAGGCGGGCTCTGCTTCTGATCCTAGGATCTTGATTTTGTGGAAAACAGGGAAGGTTACTCCATAGTTTCCTTTGGCAAAAGATTCTATTTCCTGGCTTGAACTAGGCTCTGATTCTCCGAACTGGTTGCAGGGAAAAGCCAGCACAGTGAAGTGGGAGGGACCAAACTCTCTGTGTAGTTCTTGCAGTGCGATGTAATTTTTGTCAGTGTGTTGGCAGTAACTGGCCACGTTTACAACCAAAGTTGCCTTCAGAGAAATAAAGTTATAACAGTAAGAAAAAAAACCTAGAGATGGCACAGAGATTACAATTATGTCTTAAAACAGCATCTCCCACTACCACGATCATTCCTGCCTGAAGGCTAAATTTAATCTGTCTGATCAAAATTTCAATAAACAGATAAGGATGATAGCAGATTAAGATATTTACTTTCAGACAACCTGTTTTAAAAATCCAATAAATGGATAAACTTAAACTTAGAGCTTTGTTTAAATATAAGCATGTTAAAAATCATATTTAGGACAGGCACTAAAATCATATTTACTACATCAGCTTCCAGAATTCAACACAACATGCTACCATTCTTAACCAAGATTAAAATGCACAAGTTGTATTGTTAGGCTACACTGATATATAATAAAGAATATGAAAACACATTTTTCTTGATTTATTAGATCTTAATACTTAATTTCTGGAGCAGGCCTAGATAAAATAAATTTCTCTCCAGATTACTGTTTGAAGAACACAAATTTAGCACAAATCTCTGCTGAAAATTCCCATAACCAAAATTTTTGTTAACCTACAAACGGAGACCTGTTTTTCAGTGAAGATTCAAGACAAAGATATAATGAAGTTGTAACTTACTTTCCCTCTGTACTTCTCCAAGGAAACGATCCTTCCTCGTGAATCCTTGACTTCAAAAGAATAAAAATCTTTGATTTTAGGTTTAAAAAATCTCAGCTGCAGCAGGCAGAGAATGGCGGTACACAAAACCATCGACAGAAAAACAACAAAGACCCTGGCTTTGGGCACTGAGTATTTCAGAGGATAAGTAGTTGTGAGAGACTCCATTTTTGAAATCTTTGGAGAGAAGCTTGGGCAGGCCTGGAATCTGAAGGAGGAGCTGAAATACGAAACTTGCAGCTTGGACTAGAAAGAACAAGCTGCTTGTTTTGTCCCTGTTGCAGAAGTGGCTGTTTCATTTCACAGTGCCTCTGCTGGGCTTCAGAGATCTTGGGTAAAGTACAGAAATATCTCTGGCTGGGAAAAAAAAATAAGTGAATGAAAAGTGTGTTCCCATCACCTAAGGATGCTGATTGCTCTGTTATCTGACCTGTGTGGGATACTCCAGATTTTGCACACTGTCTTGAGAGGGGCCTCTTTTGTGGGTCTGTAGTGCAGCTCTCACACATCCCCTGGGCCCCTCAGGTGTCCCTGGCAGAGTTGTTCAGCAGCAGGCACCTATGCTGTCAGACAGATCTGGAGAAGCAGTTTGGGGTCAGCTGTTTAGGTAGGAGGGCAATATGGCAGAAGCCATCCAGTTCACAGCCTCTGTCCTGCCTGTCAACAGCTGCCGTGGGATCACTGGCAGCTTTGTTTGTAAAACTCTTTTACAGTACGTAGGGCAGAGAAAAACTCCTTGTTTATAGGCTGGCATAGGGGAAGAAAATAAAATGGTTTTTTTTGTAATGGGAGGGCTGGCTGATGATGGAAAACAGGTTGTTGTTTTTATTGCTACTGGCTAACTTGCAACTAGCTGTGTTGAGACGAGAAGATGGAAGGTCTGCACGAGAGAAGAACAAGTTAGCTGAGAATCTCAGATCTAAGCCAGGCAGCTCCAGTGGTGTTTTGCTGAGGCAATTGTGAAAGACAGTCTGAAATTTAGAGCCACACAAGTCTGGTGTCTTATCTGTCTTCATGTTATTGTTGGGTATTTTAAAGATATTTGCCTGTTGGTCTTGGTTTCTGAAGGTACATTAACATGTAGTGGTTACAACTCAGTTACGGAAAAAACAACATTTTCTCTGGCTTTTTTCATGTCTTCCCTTGCTCAGTTCTTCCCGCTTTCTTTCTGTCCATTTGCTAGTCCCTCTCTTCCTCTCAGCTTCAGGATTTTGTTTTGTCCTCCTCATGTTTCTGTTCTTGGGCTCTTCTAAGCTATTACTTGTCTTTCAGCCCATGTTGCTTGTCAGTCTCTGCTAACTTTCTTTTCCTCCTAGTCCAAACCACCATTCAAGAGTGATTTCTGTCTCAGTTGTTTTTCTTATCACTGTGATTTTTTGCTGCACTTAGAGACTACATTTTAAAGGATGAAAATAGAACAGGACTTTCTGAAGGTGAAACCTGGAATCTAGGGGTCTGTTGCTTTTCAGTGACTTCGACATTATCTCAACTATCCTTGATTTGTACGATATCATAGTAGTATGCTCAACCATTTCTATGATGTTCTCTAACAGCTAAGGTCCATGTTCATTTTGCTTAACAAGACTATATAGTTTCACACAGTTCTACGTAACAGAGAGATGCTTGGGAAACACTGTGAAATTTCAGTATTTGTTTGGGTGTTTCCTGTGATCTGAGGACATGTGAGGCCTGATCTCTGCCTGGCAGTGAGGCCTGTGAGTGGGGTGTTTTGGTGGTGGGGGGCAGAAAAGGCACAGACTTCTGTGCTGAAGTGAACTTGTACTCAACAAGCAAACACAGGTGACTAATGCTGACTTTAAAAGCAAGTCTGAATGTGTTGGATTTTAGAAAATCCATGCAAAATCCTGGTGTCTAAGTTACGTCTCAACAGCTTGTAATTTTCATCTAATGTTATTTCAGAAATAAATAAAAAAAAAACCAAAACCAAAAACAAGACAATATGTTATAAATATTTACTGGTGTACCTAATAATGATCCAGAAGCCTATTCTACTTGCTGTGCTTCCTTACTGTTGTTTACTTTCACTGTTTTCCCTAAAACATTGCTTCAAAACTGTCTGAAAAACAAAATTTTGTGTTCAATATTAGCTAGGCTCTTACATTTCAAATTTTGATACATTTTTATGTTTTATGTTTTTCCGACATAAATTGCTTTATGAATGAATTTGAAGGTAAGACACATAAATCTGTCATTTACTCTTTGTTTACTATACCTTAATGTATTAAAAAGTGTAAGATAACATACAAAATAATAACATGAGCAAGCCACAGCAGTGGTGAGAAGATTCAGAAATCAGAAGTGAGCTAAGTTCTTCTTTGGGTGAAGATCAGAAAATGAGCCTGGTTTCAGAGAGCCCATGGGTTTGCCCAAATGCCCATCTCTCAGGAAAGACCAGACCCAGGATCCTACGCTAAATGTCTGAAGATGCCTTGGGTCTTTCAAAGGCCAGTGCTGTAGCCTAAGTGCATGAAGGACACCAATTTAGTTTTCTTCTCTGCCACAGGCTTTCTATGTGGCAGTTGATTCAGGAGTACTTCTCTGACCAGAAGTATTTGTTTCTTTCTGTTTCCCCCCACCACCCCCCCCTTCCTCCACCCAGGTGACTGACTGCTGGAGCCATCCTCAGCCCAACATCCGTTTCCATGGCCTGGTGCTCTGAGGTGGGCTGAGCCCACACGGCGTGGCAGAGGAAAACTTTAAACAGTGTTGAAGGGACAGAGTGATACTAAGTTGTGACTTATTGTGGTGTTTTGTCTCCTTTCACTTGTGCAGGTCCCAGACTCAGAAAGGACCACGTACTCCAGGTTTAAGAGCTCCATTAAGAGGAAGCTGGCAGCCAGGGCTCCGGTGGCGAGCAGCCCTATTGTCACAAGATGGCAGCAGCTGCATGCAAGAGGCAGCGCAGAGGAGCCACGCAGGGCCTGCTGTGTGACCGATCTTTGTGCCTCTGGGGGGCCGCAGCTCATCAGCACACCTGGGAATGCTCCAGGTCAGACAAGATGCAAAGGTACATTTTCGTATAGAGGATGGCCTCATGGAGGGACTTCTGAAATAACCTGGTATTGGGAATTAGTGTAAGGTGTGGGCTGGTGTTCCCCCATGTCCCAGTTGTCAGGGGCTCTGGGTATGGCAGTGTGCAGCAGCAGCAGCCTGTGCAGACCTTCACAGGCAGAGCAAGCTCAGGGCCAGCGTCCTCTCAGCAGGAGTACACTGCTGCCATGAGAGGAAAGCTGGGCCCAAGGTTCCTGTTACCAGTGCGCAGACAGCCTAGGACAGCAGGTCATACAGACAGCTGACATCAAGGGGGGGTGAAAGGAAAGGGAGAAAAGAAAGTTTCAGCCCCAGCCAAGCAATGCCTGTTGCAGACCAGTCTTTTTTACTCTATGATGGGGGCTGTATTGGACTGGGGATAAGTTGCACTGGGCTGTAATAATGCACAGGGTTTGTTGCTGCGCCTTCATAGCTGGAATAGTTAACAATAACTGACAGGAGAGCAAGAGAATTCATACAGGCCTCTCCCCTTCCTTCTGCTTCTCCTTTGCCTTACACACAGCTACTGCAGACCCGGCCATAACTGCAGAACTTGGACCAGTCTGCATGCCTGGATGTGGTATAGTGTACGCTCACTGAAGGAGAAGCCTGCCTTGTGTTATTGTCTCTCCTCCAATGCGTAAGGCTTCAGGTATTGACAAAGGGACAGTGGCCAAGGGATGCTCACACTCAACTCACCTTAGGGAGAGACTTACCTGAGGGCCATTCAGAGCACAGATCAAACTTTCAGTACTCTGACTTGGTCTGGAGAAGAACCGACTCTAGGGGAGGCTGTTTCTCTCCGTCAACAGAGGGAGCTGAGGAAGGGTTAAATGAGCCTTTGAACTCACTGACTCCTACTTCCAGCAGTGCTACGGGAAAGTGGGGAAGGGTTTACATGCTGCAGGTACAAGAAGAGCTTCCTGGAAGATCTAGGGAACTAAACAACGCTCATTTCTTGATTAATAATTAAAATCTTTAGAGAGCAAATAAAAGATGCTGTTTAGTGTTCAGGATGTGTTCCTACAATGCCATGGCTGTTGGTCAGAAAGTGCAATTCTATCTTCTGCTAAGCAGAATAGCAGAGCTATTCAATAATACATGCCCAGCTCTAGGAAACGCAGGTTCTAAACCAAGGTGAAGTCTTCCCTGCTTCAGTTTCTAGAACAGAAAGTCCTGCATGCTGTCTCTACTAGCAGTGGTGAAAGCCTGTATGGTTCTGGGAAATCAGATATTGATTTCCTATGGGGTAGGATCCTGTGTAACCAGTCAACAAATCTAAGGCTAGATAAGAGCTGCAGTAGTAAACAGGCACTCTTTTAATGGAAATGATCAATCTGAGCTTTTTTAGATGTCTTTTTTAGGATAAGATGAATAGTGCTGTAGAAATGTCTCTTTCTCTTCACTGACAAAAGGAAAGCAGGGTGACTGGTTCAAATGTCAGTATTAGCATTATCCCACTTAGTGTGTCAGATCTGCTTTTAGAGTATTGCTACTACGAAATCAGTGCTATTCTGAAAAGTACTTGACAAATGTCCCTGTGAATGGTTTTTAAAGGTATTGTTTCCATGAAAATTGTTTTTCCAGTGACACCTCAGGTGCCTAAGAAACTCTCCATCACAAAAACTGTTGTGACTTTGCCTAGCAGTCATGCTGCAGCAGGCTTGGAAGGGAGGAATAACATGAGAGCTGAAATGGGAAACAAACAGGTGAGTAATGCAACATTCAAATGCACAAGTAGGGTATTTGCTTTCCTGATGTGTTTTTTTTTTACCTTATCTTTGGCCTAGAATCTGTTATGCGGATAATACCTTACTGACATGGAGAACAGTAATAAGAGGAGGTCCATTTAGGAAATGTCTGCTAGACAAATGTCAGGAGCAGTTGCTTCGTCATTTATTTGATTCAGCTTCTCTCCCCTTCCTCCAGGCTGTCGTTCTGCAAACTAAAATCGAAACCAAGCTAATGAAGCCCTCAAGATACGTTTGTTACCTCTGAGGGAAAACATATATTGTAAAAAAATATGTATGAAAAGCATTAATGACTCAGTTTTCCACTTGCTTTAATAAACACTGTGTGAAGAAGATAATTTCTTCAGTTGTGCAGGATGTAGCTGTTCATTTTGCCACATAGACGGAACGAGGCGCTATGAAAAATTTGCCAAAAAGTAGCTTTCTGAGAATAAAATTTTTGTCATGACAATAGAAGGTCAGATTCTTGGCCAAGGATGAAAGAACACATGAAGTCTGCCTAACATGTGAAACAAAGACTTCAGATCGCTTCCCATTTAGATGTTGTTTTCTACTGCTGTACACTTTATCCCTTCATTTTTCCTAGTGGACACTGATATACCAATTTTTTTTTTCTTTTTAGGTATTATGCATTGCTTTTTAGTCATCTTAAATAAACCTATGCTCCTGCCACCCACCTGTTTCTGTTCACTAACTTCTTGAAAATTGAATTCTCATGTGAAGCGTGGTGATACTTGTCTGTATTAGTAAAAGTTATTACCATAACATTACACTCAAAAACACCTCTCTGTTTTAGTGCTATCTAATTGTAACTGTTCATATATTAAGTTGTAAACTTTTAGGCAGTGACCACGCTTTTTCTTGTGTTCTCCTTTCCTTGATTGCACCAGTTGCAAGGTCAGTACTGAAGATGTTGATAGCTGTTTTGACGTGATGACTTTTTTGACCATAACTGTTGAGTAAGGATGCTTGAGAGATGCATACTTAATGTCCTTGCTTATAGCGGTTAATAATCCTTTATTATTATTAAGTTTCTGTGAGGGTATCAAGCTCAACTTCTAAGAAAAGGAGGTAGTGTCAGGACAGGTGGGCTAACAGGCTTGTTGATTGATATGTTGTAATAATTGTACTTTTGAACGTCACTGGATGTTGCAAAAAGACCATGCTTTTACATCCTTCTGGGAAACCTGGTCCTTGGGTCAATAACTTTCCTTTCTAAATAAGCAAAATATTCTGGAAAGTCCTTCTTTCAACAGCAGTCGTTTCTTCCTTCCTGCCCCTCTCCATGGTCTGACTGGAAAGTCTGTGAGTTTTAGAATTATTAAAATACACAACTCAATGGGTTTAGTAATCTTAGTTGAATCTACCCTACAGAGAAAATTAATAAAACTTTTCTGTGAGATGATAAGAACTTTCTATGAAGTAAAGTATGTAAAACATTCTTCTTTCCTTAAAATGTAACATCTTTTAAAAGATGACTACATGTCATTGTCTTCACTCTTAGTCATAGAGTGGTTTGGGTTGGAAGTGACCTTTAAAGGTCATCTAGTCCACCGCCCCTGCAATGAGCAGGGACATCTTCAACTAGATCAGGTTGCTCAGAGCCCCGTCTTTCCAGGGATGGGGCATCTACCACCTCTCTGGGCAATCTGTTCCAGTGTTTCACCACCCTCAGTGTAAAAAAATCTACCCTCTTTTAGTTTAAAACCATTACTCCTTGTCCTATCTCTACAGGCCCCATTAAAAGTATGTCCCCTTCTTTCTTATAAGCCCCCTTTAAGTACTGATAGGCCGCAGTAAGGTCTCCCTGGAGCCTTCTTTTCTCCAGGGAGAAAACCTGGAGAACCCCAGCTCTCAGCCTTTCTTCATAGAAGAGGTGTTCCATTTTTGTGGCCCCCCTCTGGACCTGCTTCAGCAGGTCCGTGTCTTTCTTGTACTGAGGACTCCAGAGCTGGGTGCAGTATTCCAGGTGGGGTCTCACCAGAGCAGAGTAGAGGGGCAGAATCACCTCCCTCGACCTGCTGGCCACGCTTCTTTCGATGCAGCCCAGGATATGATTGGCCTTCTGGTCTGCGAGCGCATATTGCTGGCTCATGTCCAGCTTTTTATCCACCAGTACCCCCAAGTCCTTCTCAGCAGGGCTGCTCTCAATCCCCTCATCCCCCAGCCTGTATTGATAGCGGGGGTTGTCCCGACCCAGGGGCAGGACCCTGCACTTGGCCTTGTTAAACCTCAGCTTGGTGTCATCTGCAAATTTGCTGAGGGCGGACTTGATCCCACTGTCTATGCCATTGATGAAGATATTAAACAGTAGTGGTCCCAATATGAACTGTGTGTCAGTCTTCTGTGTGTTAGTCTTGCATCTCTACAGTGAAGTGACTTACCTAGAATGACACTGTAATTTACAAGCAGGAATTGGGTTAGAGCTAAGATATTCAGAGTTCTACATCAAGGACCACAACCATTTCCTAAAAGTGCAATGTGGGGGTCTTTGAGATAACATTGTGGGATGACCAAAACCCAAGTTCTTCCTAAAACCATTTGGAAATCAGTCTTGGCTAAAACCATACGAAAATCTATTAATCTTCTTAGATATAGTAATTAATGTGCTGCCTGGTAGCATAAAGGGATGGGATGCACTGAAAATAAAATCTGCTCACATTCCAGTGAATGTGTGTGTTCTCTTTGTGGGCCAAAAGATTACTTCCTTGTATACACAATTGGTTTTCCACAGAAATGTCTGTGCTTATTGTAGAGGGACACAGATCCAAGCAATCTGATTAGCTTTCTGCCAAGTTGTCTATATAAATCATACAGAAAGTGCCTCTCAAAGCTGAAGGCCTGCTGTAGAACAGCTGGGATACATAAAGGAGGAACACTTTTTTTCCAGCCATGTTTTTTTAAGACATTTCTTATCATGATTGCAACAGGGTTCTGAAGAATAGCAACACTGAGTGTGCTTGGAAGGATAGATTTCACAGACATTGGAGGAAGAACATACTGATCTTGAGTGGCTGGTAAAAACATCAGCTGCATTTCCACCTGACTGTAAATAAAGAATTACAGACCAAACAGACAACTGGCATCAGGGCATTCAACTCAGTGAACATTGTGAAGAAATGCATATTACTAGGGATTGATGAAGACATTCATATCCTGTGTGAGCTGATCTGAGCTTTTGCCTGAATCTTGGCTAAAGGCCTAAGCTAATTTTTTTTTAAAAAAGTTCCAATAACAATTCAGATCTCCCTTTTCTTATCTTTGTCTGCTGCATCTTCTGTTTCTTTGACACCCAAGGAAATGATAATGTAATTAAAAAAATCTTATTACTCTGAGACACCTTGTATATATTTTCAGTTTCATGTTATAATACTGGTTTAAGAATGGGATCGTGGAGTCCAGGCTCTGGGACCCTGGTTTGAGAGACAACTCTGATATCCAGTAGGTCTCGTGCTGGAATCAATGGCCCTGCAGCATGTGCACCACAAAACTGATCTTCTCTCAAAGAGCAAGCCTGAGGCATCAGACTTACTGTCTGCATGCAGAAAACATGGCATTGTATGCTGGTAAAATTAGCTCAAATGCCAATTCAGAAGAGGGTAAGAGGGCACTAAGGTTTGGCAGGTGACCTGTGGTAGTACCTACAGAGGTACAGGGCCTGGGACCTCTTTCACTGGTAAGATGGCCCTGTTCAAACAGCTTTGTTAAAGTTTGTGTGATCATTAGCAGTGAATTGGTGTTTTATGGAAGGAAAGATGGTGGCTCAACTTAGAGCACATGATTTGGACATTGTATTCTGTGTCTGTTGCTGATCTCCCATCCAAGAGACAAGCTATTTTGAAGCTTTTATGTAAAAAGTGTTAAGTCCTTTGATGGGAGCTGTGTTACCCATAATGCTTAAATACGTTTTTCTACAGATTTCTTCATTCAGTCATGTTTTCACTTCAATGTATTGGCAGAAATGTCCTTCTCAGCTTCCAGTGGTCCAGGAGGTTGGATATAGCATTGCAGAAAGTGGTGACATGAAGGTCTGTGAAAATACCAATTGCATCTGGAAAGGTATGTTCCAATATAGCAAATGTTCTCATGCACACTGAACAGTAAGGTACAGCAGGCTGCATCTATACTGGAAGAGCAAGTGCCTCTGCCTGTTCCAGCAAGTGTTACAGAATAATATGAAGTGGCTGAGATCTACAATGCTCGGGGCTGCTTCTAGAGTTCCGACTGCCTGTGGAGAGATAGTATTCTACCTCTTCTAGTCTGGTCAACTGCTAGTATTTTAACTGGCTCTCCTTTGGGCACTATCTGATGCATTGGTGGCCCTAAAACTCTAATTTCCTTTTGGCTTTTCAGTTTCAGAACCCTACAAATAATGTGGGGTTGTGCTGCAGAATGGGCACAGGATATGTATCGTATGGACTGTTGGGTACGTGAGAGTGCAGACATGCAGCTGCCCCTGGTTTCTTCTTCGGGGGAGTTGATTAATTTGCTCCAAAAGGTATCCTAGGAATGAATGAGCATAAGGGAGTGTGAATGATCGGGCAATTGGAAAACAGGTAGGATGTGAGGAGCTAACGTGAAATAATACAGATATTCCCAGAGTTATTTGAGTATGAGTTCATTAAATATCAGACCAATATTTTGTTGTGTTCTGTCTTGGGCAGATGATTTGTTTTGGTGATCTGGCTATTTCTGTGTATGATGTACATACACAGAGGCCTTCTTGCCAGTGAAGGCCTGATTCATGCTCATGTAAAAACAGTGAGAAACAGCTTTTTTATGAATCTGGAGTTCAGCTCCTGTAGAAGAAGTTGGGGGCTATGTGATAGATTTATATATTCCTTTGTTGCTCTTCTCCGTGCAAATAAGACTAATTTCAGAGTAGTCAATAGTAACAGTATAGGGGTTAGCCACAGTGTTTTTTTTTTTCTTGATGGCAAATGAATACAGGTATCAGGAATACCAGGTTTTATTCCACCCACCTAATTGTTGATCAAGTGGTCTGGTGTGACAGTACTACTTACCACTTCCTGAGTCTCATTTTGAGAAGTGACACAAGCACGTGAAAGCTGAAATCCTACCAAAAGTCAGTGATATCTGCTAGTACCCAGGCAAAATAACACAAAATGGTGTAATGAAGCTTAATTTCCCCTAATTAAAAAGCCTGCTATGCACATTCATGTGTCTTTGAAGTACGTGAATAGAGCTGAAAGTGTCATCAGTATGAATTTGGGGTAGATGAATTACTCATGAGAGAATAGAAATCTGAAATGAGTTACAGAGATGATTTCATCCTTTATATCTCACTGCTCAATACCAGCTACCAATGTTAAGAAAAACATTTTCAGAGTGTTTCAGAAGTGTTGCCATTCATCCAACTGTTACAATTAAGTGCTTTAGTTTTCCTGGATTATCTTACTTGACTGGGTTCAGAAAGGTTTGGTAAAGTTTTCGAAAAATAACCACAAATCTAGATATTAGAAATATAGATTTTTCTGTACAGAGAAATCTCATTTCAGTGATATTAGACCTTTTTAGGGTTAAAATGCAGTGTTACATGTCCCATTGGGCAGGTCTGAGAAGGTTGTTCTTGCGAGCCTGCCTGCTTGTTTAACTCCACAAAATTTTAGATATGGAAGAAATTCACTGTGGCCTGCTTCTTGCTCATGTTCAGTCTTTATTTGGAGAGAGAGGGGGTACCACAGCTGAGAGGGGAAACATTTGTTCTCTGGCAGAAATGTGTTTTGGATTAGGGGAGAAGTTTGAGAACAGAGTAGGAAAGGACTGTGTGAAATAAGTTCTCCACAATTTGTCATTGGACTTCCGTATAGGATGTTTATATGTGTATTTAAGTTACAGAGTACAAAAACTTTGTCAGTGTTGAATTTTTTTGAACAGAGAAGGTTAGTTGTAGAGATAAGTAATGTCTTCTGCCCCTGAAACTTTTGATATTCATTCTAAATACTCCTTTCTGGAGAATAATTCAAAAAGGAAGTCAAAACACAGAGAAAAGCACAGAAATGCGATCTCCAGCTTTCTACTCTGCACATTACAGCAAGATAATTTCTTACACATAAAAATCTAGTATTAAATGATTCATAGTGCTAATGATCTGGCTTTTTTTCGATGATGTTTAGGAGTCCTTGCAGCATAACGTAGACAATGACCACAAAGGATGAGTCTTCTGCTTGTTCATACTTGTATTTGCTTTTGTTTCTCGCTTATGTGCTGTCACAAGCTTAGTGTGCTGTGATCAAAGCGCGTGTGCTTTAAAAACCTTTTCCTGTGGTTAGGTATTGATGGGGGAGACCTTTTGGTGGGAAATTAACACCAGAAAGCAAAAAAGTTAATTGCTGTATGAGGGGGTTTTGAAGTGGGAGAGCACATATGAAACTTTCTGCTATTAACAACTTTTGACAGAAAACTAAGGTGAAAAAGACAAAAAACCCCACGTTCTGTATTGAGCTGTGGTACAATTTAAACAAAATATAGTGGACCATATTCTCTGTTCTAGCTGAGTAAATCCATGGAGGTTTGAAAGAAGTGGTAAAAGGTGGCTTTCACCTAGTTTAGTGTGTCTAGTGTTTTGAGCCTACCCAGGATAAATTAGACCCTTCTGGCCTCCTCTGGACCATGGAGAGACCAATATAGTGAGAATGTGAAAGGCTTAGGCCTGAGAAAAACTGGTGGTGTTTTGCATTACTGATTTGTGTGTGATTAATCTTCAAATACAGGATGCCAAGAGGGTACCCAGAATGAGTTTAGAGCTGTTACCATCGTGAAGCCTTCCATACCATTTGAGCCAGAAGTGAGGCTTCACATTACTGGCTTGCGCAATGATTACTGTAAGTTAATTTATCCTGTGTGGTGGTTTTTGCAGAGATTGGGAATTCGTATGTTTCAAGAAAGATAGTGAAGGTGTGTCCCCTTCACATACAATGGAAACTCTGCAGGACATATGCATGATGTCATTTTTCTTATGAGGATCCATCTTTGAAAACTGTCTGTCCCAGGATGGAGACATGACTGGTCAAACCCTAGAATCAATACTACCAACTCTCATGCAGTTTCCTTCAGCTATAGATCTCAATACAACTTTCAAATCAAACCAATATACTTACCTCCGCTTAATTAAGTTCAATGTTTCAACTCTCAGCCTTGGATATCTAGCAGCCAGTCAACACAGCAGCAACTTTATTGATCAGACTTTGAGATCTCTTATTTTGGGAGACATCGGTGACATTGTTTATGGTTTGGATGATAGATACCTTCTGAACTAAATTCTCACTTATGTCTTTGGTGGTGCACAGGCAAAAATTAAACATGCACAAGTTACACATGAACACACATGGATCTCTTGTCTACAGCAGCAAATACATGTTTCAACACTTCATAAGATCTAGCGAACAGCTCTGTATGTGCAAGTGTTTGTAGTTGTCCCTGTGGAGGTTTTTTCAACATATCGTTGCAAGTGTTCATGTATGTATCTATGAACAGGACAAAGGTTTGTTTGTATGATTTACACTTATTGTGCACAAGGTATGTCCCAAGACTAACAGCACTAACAGAAGTCTTTGGAAGTGATTTCTTAATACTTATTTCTGGCTGCAACTACCAGGACTGTAGTCAAACAGCTGACTGACAGGTTCAGCTGTTCTTCAAAGAGATTTTAGTTACCGAAGTATGTCAGGCCTTGGCCTATGGTAACAATCTTCTGTGCTTCAGGGGTCATGCAGAATGACTTTTAAGCTGCCCTAAATGGACAGCTGAGGATTTCCCTTGACATGGGAGAATGTCCTGGGTTGATATTAAAAGTTGTATACCAAAGTCTTCTGGCTACCTGGCATAGCAGGCTGTTCTGAGGCTAATCACTGTAGTGACTTGCTTTGCCAGGATCTGCAAGTGCAATGCACCCAGCATCAGGGGCAGTGGAAACAGTATTTCCATCATACACTTGTTGAGCAAGCTCTGGAGGTGAGGAGCAGAATTTCCATAATTGCTTTCTGCATTTTTTTCCTATCACGTGCAGGGTAAATGTTATCATTAACCCAAGGATGTAGAACAGACTGTAGCATATAGACTCTCCTATGTCTTCCTCAATAACAAGAATTACCTTGGAACAAGGGTGTTTTTGGAACTGTAGCTGTTGGTGGAGGAGCCTCATTTCTGGTGGCAGAAATTACAGCGAATGATGTGGTGATCCAAAATGCAGGGTGATAGATTAAAAAATTCTAGTGGGGAGGCTGTAAGTCAGATCCTGCTGTGCAAACATACCAGTTTGTGGAGATTAGCCTTACAAAGCCCTTGGCTTGTTAGGAGATATTCTCCTTCATGTAGGGGGAATACTTGCTAGTAATGGTTTCACAGAAGCATTCTCTTGAAGTTTTTCCATAGCTATTAAAAAAAAAAAGCCCCCCTCGCCCAAACCATACTCCCTCTCACCCCATCCTATTACCTACAATTTTTTTGCAGTAATTTTTAGTAGCTTTCTTCTAGATCTAAACATACTGGACTGGAGCCTTGAAAATCTCATTGCTATTGCTGTAGGATCTGCTGCACACATCTGGAATGGTGGAGGAACCTTTCAAGCTATTGAAAGCATTGATCTGAATTCCAGTTCCAAATACATTTCATCTCTGGCTTGGATAAAAGAAGGAACTTGCCTTGCAATTGGCACCAGTGATGGAGAAGTGCAAGTACTAGATAATTCACTTTTTTAATCTTTCTCCATTTTTAGCTAAAGTGGCCACAAGACAATTTGATACTGATATTTTTAAGGAAACAAATGAAAAAGATTGGCTAAACTACAGAAGACCTCTTCTGGAGACAGTATATAGCACTTTCCTGTATCATGCTGCACCTTACTGAACGTCTTAGTGACATCCAGTGTTATCTATATGTAATGGATTATCTGAAGCCACTAAAAAGCAGATGAGTGAATTAATGACTCAGTTGTCCAGAAGCAATTAGATTTTTTTACCACCAGTAAGAGGAACTCTTTCATTAAATTATTTTACTTAGCACAGGCTATTTTTTCTTGTATCTCTTTTGCTAAGATCACTCTAGTGATCAATGCCTTGAGAACTCAAGCCAAAACTCTTGCTTATGGATTCACACATGAGGATTTGACTTCAGTCTGATTATACACGTACCTCTCAGCCTGCTGTTATAGGACAGTCCTATTATCAAAAGATTTTTGTGCGACTTTGTCTGAGATGCTAGATAATATGGGGACCTACCTGCTGCAGTCCTGAGTGAGCAATCTGAAAGTATTGAAGGCCAGTGCTTTCAAGTATGGACTTCCAAATACTGACATGTAAATAAATAGCTTTAAACTCAGAGATGTGCATTCCCTTCAATCCTGTCTGACTTCAGCATCACTCATATAGGTGCCAAAATTTGGAAATACTCCTTCTTGTCTTACTTGTGAAATAAATGAGCTTGAGGTTGTCCATATGTTGAATCAGAACCGGGCAGTGGCTTACTTGCAAACAAATGAAGAGAAAAAAATCTTTTTTCTTTCTGTTGTTAAATTTGTGTTTCTTGTTTGTTTTGGATTGGCAGCTGTGGGACATTGAAACCAAAAAGAGGTTGAGAAATATGTTTGGTCATCTGTCTGTAGTTGGAGCTCTGAGCTGGAATCATTATATTCTGAGCAGGTGAGTGGCATTGTATATTCCCAGAAAGAGTCCTGCTGCAAAACGAAATATCACATTTGTTTTAGCTGTTTTCATTGGCTTTGCTCAGAAGTGATTTACCCTGTCCCTCTACTTATCGGCAGTCTCAGAAATCACATGTAGATTTACTGTATGGCAGGAAAGCAGCCAAAGGGGATTTAGCCTGCCTCTTTAGTCTCTGTTTCTTACTCTTCTTCCAGAAAGCTGTCACCACTTGCAGAATTTCACTAGGATGTGGAGGCTGTGGCTCTGGTTTTGTGCAAAGCCTGAGCTTGAAATGGTGGTGTCTCCAGTGGGTCTGGACTCCAGAAATCATAGCCTGTCTGGTGCCAGGGAAAGGGCATGTAGTTTAGACTGCCACTCCATTGATATCAAGACTGCATCTGTCTTTTCAGATGCACAACAAAATACAGCTGTTAGAGTTGCACACCTCTCTAGCTGTGTATCTACGAGGGAAGGCCAGCTCATTGTTATCCACAACCTGAGGAGGATTGAAGTGGTTGACCTTTGCTTTGCCAACGGTGAATTTTACACTAGCTGGTGAATATTTTATATTTAGGAATAATTTCAATATGGGTACCCAGATGGGAAAGATCAAGTGTACTCTTTTGTGTTTCTTTTCCTCCCACTTTCTCTTTCAGATCTTTGGCTCAGACTTGAAGGGGCTGAGGGGAGACTTGTTTCTGATGGATGCTTCTCTGATTTTAAAATCATGTGATAGTCTTCTGTTTTACTTAAACGCAGAAATAATAGCAAGGGTGGACTGACTTTATTGTTAAACTAAAAAGGAAACTAGTATCTCTGGATAGGAACACTAGAGTAGTTTTATTTTGATTTCATTCTCAATGAGTGAAAAAGCTCTGGCTTTTGATTGTATTAGGTCTGCTGGGTGGAGTGAGGTACAAGGATACCAGCTGAACAACCGGTTAATAAAATGCTGTTGCTGGAGTAGGTACGCTGGGTGGGTTAAGGTACAAGGATGCAGCTAAAACATCCTGCCAATGCCAAGTGGCATAACCTTATTACAGGAAGCATTAGTTTCAATTTGCATTTCAGCTTGGCCAAAGGAGTGAAAACAACAGAAACTTAAATTACAGATCCCTCTGAGTAGAAATTGATGATAAAATTCAGCATGAACCTGTGAACTACAGTTATGGTTGACAGATTAGGTTGAGATTACATTTATTTCTCTTGCTAGGTTTGAAACTAACCAGTTCATTCTAACATTAGGGGAGAGTTAAAATATCTGTATAGGTAGAAAAAAAAGACATGGAGTTAATATTCATTGTTACTAAAATAAGAGCAGCATTCTTACAGTAAACTTCACTGTGGACAATTGATACTTTGGGATTACGTACTAATTTCTGTGGTTAAAAATAGTCCAACAACACGTCATCATGAACCTGTAAGTGAACTTCAGTACCATAAATTAACCCATCACAAAAATTTTGTTGGCTTCTCTTTGTCTTTAGCAAAACAGGTGCCATCTTCTGTGTCAAAAGCAAATAGTTCTGATTTCTTTTTATGCGAAGTGGAAAAATGTCCTTTCAGCAAGGATTCTCAGGAGCCCAGTTCCTTCCCACTCATACCACTAGAATTACTGAAAACCTTAATATGGCCAACACTGGCAATTCAATTCTGTTTCTCTTGGTTAGATTCTCTGCTTATTATTTAGTAGGAAAAATCTGTATAAATCTGCAGGATGCAAATTATGATGCCTTTGCATATAATGCACATATTCCCATGTATCTTCATAGGTATTTTCCATAAAGATGTGCTTAATATTCACTGGAGCACTGCATGGTTGGAATCTTTCATGCTTTTGTGAACTTCAGGAGCTTTTAATACAAGCACAATAGAATGATGTTTCTTCAGTCAGTCAGTTTTGCATGTGCATTTTTAGAGCTTCCAAATCACTCAACTTGCATCTGAAAAATCTTGGAAGAGCCAGTATGGGAAAGTTTCCAGTCATTATTGCCTTAAATTAATCTATTGCAGTAATGTCAGATATCTGTTTCTCAGATACCCAGAAAGATGCTATTGAACTTGTTGATTTTTTCAGTGTCATCAGAATAGTTGGAAGTGTGAATTTCCAGCAGGAAGCTCTTCTGTTTTGTCATAGGTTTAATGTAGGTAATATCCTTAGAAAGACAGGAAAAGAAAATGTGCTGCAAGGTATTTTCAGTATTTTCAGTTCAACTCTACTAGTGATGTGTAAAACCCATATCCAGGAGCTAAGCTGTAACAGTAGCTGTGCTTCCAGGCAGGGTATTTCTTCCTTCCTTTGGTAGACTGATGATACGAGCTGTAGAACCATGCATCCATTTCCTAACAGGCAATTAGTGCAAGAGTGTCAAGCTATGCAGATTTTCTTTAAGCCTGGAAGTGGGAGGGAGAAAGGGGACAAGGGAAGGGACAGAACCAAAGAACACACTGTTACTCGCTAGTAAGCCCTTTCCCAGAGCAATGCAGTTTTACACTGCCTCTTTGTTGGGCGTGGAGTCATATCTGGCCTTGGCAAAAGCCATCTTGCAAAACTATTTTTCATGAAGAGCAGGAAAGAGTTTACATTAGATGCCTTGACGGTTGAACAGGGTGCAGATTAGTGGCATACAATGCAATACATCCTCAGGGAAATGAAAACCATGAGAGAGAACAGGTATTTTGCCTGGCTTGAACTGAGCAGCTGCTTGGCTCCTTTCTGTTGTCAGCCACCTCTACGGTCAGGGTGTGCTTTTAATAGTTGGTTTGTATTTCCTTTTACTGAAATACTGTTGTTTTGCAGACACATTTTACTCTGATGTGGTTTGCTTCTGAAACCGCTGAAGAAACATCGGTGTGATGATGTACCTTGTCTTCTTTAGCATTAAACCCATGCTATCTTTTCTCATCTACAGTGGTTCACGACTAGGATCTATTCATCACCATGATGTTCGGGTTGCTCAGCACCGTGTTGGGACTCTCTGCCAAAACAAACAGAGCATTTGCAGCCTGAAATGGTCACTAACGAACCAGTTGCTGGCAAGTGGGTCTAGTGATGGTACATTGAATATCTGGCCTAGTGACCCTGGTGTGAAATTGCAGTCACAGCCACTGAAAACCATACCTCATTCCTCAGCAGTTAAGGTATATGGAGAAGGAATGTCTGCTTTTCTATATTTGCTCTCATGAAATCATGTTATTGATGTGGACAGAGGGAATTTTTCAAATTATCTCACTGATTTCTATTAGTTTCTTCTCCCCTGACTGTGATGCAGTTAATTTTAAGACCAGTTCTCCTCATTCCAAGTCACACTTAAGTTTGCTAGGGCTTTGATCAGGAAATCTTACTGAATTAGTAGGCCTTTGTAAATATAATGCCAAATAGAAATAAAATTTACAGCCATCTCCTCTGTTTTGCACAGAAAACTTTGGTGGCACAATTCTTACAAGTTAACAAACAACATCTTTCAATTTTTGGAGTTTTGGAAAATTCTCTCTGCTGAAATTATTTTTAATATGAGGTTTCTTTTGCCTTCCTGCCCATATTTTCATGTCATTGCTGGTAGCAAAGAATCCGAAGTAAGAAACTGGAAATGAGACACTTCAATTCTTCATCTTTATGAAGTCCCTGTGTGGGAGAGAGAACAGATATCAGCAATAAGAGGCAGGGGAGTCCAGCGTTTATAAGCTGTTTATCCTCCCAGAAAAGTCTGAGGCTGGACTGAAGTGCTGGTGCTAAAGGGTCAGAGGAGGTTATTGAAATAGGTGGAATTCAGTTCTTAGTAGCTTTACTTCAGGTGGACTCTAGGCCTTAGGCATATCCTGGAAATATCTCAGAAGAAGCCAGGTTTCTTGTAAGCCCTGTAAGTCATGTTGCTTAGGCTTCTGTGATGGCTTTGGCTTAGGCGGTAAGACACTATCCTGCTCAGTTCTTCTGGTACTGAGGTGTGAATTTGTAGCCTGTGAAGGGTAAACAGAGAAGCTGGAATTTAATGAGCATATGTGGGACAGTGTAGGCTACTGTGAAGCAATAGCAAAGGAAGCAGCATTTGGAGTTTTGGGATTCTGTATTGCTGTGTGTGTATGGAGGAAGAGCATGATGTAGGGTGAAAAAAGCCAAAGATACATTCTGGGTGTTTGTTGCAGTTCATTTTTCCAACTAAGCTTTTAAGCAAAATCTACTCTGTTTTTTCAGCTAACCTCCTAGTCTGTTCTGGCATCTGTTTTCTTTTTTTTTAGGCTGTGAACTGGTGTCCTTGGCAGTCCAAAGTCCTTGCTACAGGGGGTGGAATGAAAGACGGGATTTTGCGTGTCTGGGACATAAATCGTGAGAAAATGGTCCAAAGTGCAGCTACAGATTCTCAGGTGAAATGATGAAATGTCTGCATACTTAGGCTATGCTCTTCTTGTATAGCTGTGCTCATTTGGCAAACTTCCACTGACTTTGAGGGTGGTTCTGCGGTCAGAGGAACTGCAGGATTTTCTCTCGATGTGGAATTGTCCTACATTCAGCACTGCAGTGTGTGGTTGGACTCAGAAGGAGTTGTTTCTCATTCACCACTTCTGTCTCCACACATAAGTGATTGAAGAGGAGGTGGTCTCACAGCCAGACACTTCTCATCATCTTTTTCTTACTTGCAATAATAGTTTTGGCCAAAACTCTTGATGTGGAGAGAAAGTTGAGGAGGAGGGAAAATTCCCAGAGTGCTGGGGTGAGAAGAGGTGTAAGAGTCAGAGGGCAAACATCCGTCTCTGGAGTTTGAATATTAGGAAGTAGAGGAACAGATTCTCAGCTGGAGTAAAGCAGCATAGCTGTTGATTTTCCTGGAACTATTACAGCTTAGCTGAGGATGTGTCTGAAGGGCTTTGGTTTTATACTGATAGGCTATTATCATGTTTAGATAGGACAATAAGGCAACTGTACTTCAAAGCATTGTAAGGAATGAAATGATCCTTCTAAATAAGTAAATATTCTGCTGGGACTATTTTCCAGTAGCTTATTTAAACATTGTAGATAACATTTCAAATCTACTGAATGGTGCATGTTGACCCTTTCTGAAAACTAAAGCAGAATTTTAAATTACAATAGATTTGTTCCTTGCTCTGGTTACCCAAAACCAGTGAACTGATGACTGGACAAGGCCTTCCTGGAAATCAGATGAAAATATGGAAGTATCCCATGCTTATCAATTCATCAGAACTATATGGCAAGTATTTCAGTTAATGGTTTGAACTATTTCAGTGAACTATCTGTCTAATCAGTGTGTTTTTGCAAGTGCATACCTTATGCATTTATGTAAAACAGAGTTAGAAGAGCAGCCACCTACACATCCTCCCTCTGCCTACACACATGCATTCATGCACACAATCCTGATGCATGGGATTGTAAAGGTTGACTTATTGAGATAATGGTGTAAGTTGCTTCTGTAAAACTCCTTGGTTTTAATGATGGGATTCTCTCCTATAATTTCTAAGGCCATCCCAGGTGCAGGATGTGGATTTCCACTTCTCCCTAAGGCTTACTAGGCATGGACTGAGTGTGCTAGTGTCAGGTTGCTTCCAATATATTCTAGGCTGATGGCCTTCTACATAACTCAAACTAGATGTGGCTCTTCAATTTTGCAGCTTATCATGGAAGGATACTGAACCAGCTTCCTAATGATGTTTGAAATAATTCTCCATGTGTTATTTAGAGCTGTCTGGGTTTTAATGAATGATTTTGGCTGTGAAGCAATGCAGTGCAGCATGTTTCCCTTGTACCATGCTGACAGCTAGAGGAAAGTGGAGTTTCATTGCAGCTCTGTATTGGTCCGTGGAGCTGTAGGGCTACACTACACATAAAAGTTGTTCCTTGCTATTAAGCTGTCTTGTTTCTGATGCTTGCTGTCACTCCTATCCATTAAGTTTTACTTGTTTCAGTGTTAACTGAAGTGATCTAATAGAAGCATCTGAAGTTGAAAGAAAAAATAAATTATTTGCACACTGGCTGCATTTTCACAAATATGGTTGTTTTTTCACACTCACTGACAAGATATGGCCAAAGAAGTTTTGGATTTTTAACCTAACAACTGATATTTACAAATACTTTTTGTACCCTATTGCTACATTTGAAGGCATTTATTAAATTCCTGATTTATTAAACCCCAGCTATACTGGGATGCTGTCCTTGGAACCAACGACTTGCGTGGAATCAGGGCCTTGGCTTCAACACTAGTCTATAAGAGGAAAGCACAGGAGAGTCAAAACAAAGATGGACGAAAGAGAGAGGGCAGCAGAGACATACGTGGATCTGATTACACATTATCCTTGTGTAATGCCACTTGTCTGCTGCTTTTCCTTCCTTATCCCTACTCATTTATGTATAGCTCTTAAGGTCATGTCCTGTGATATTCTGAGAAATGATCCAGAAAGTGACGTGATCATTAGTCTTAACTACTGTTGCTTGAGGTTTCTCAAATCTTTGTAAGTCTTGAATATACTATTTGAAATGAAACCTAGATTTACTCTTACCTTTGAGAATAGCATATGGGGTAAAACATTTACCATATAAGTCAAATGCATTGGTAATTCGGTGAAGCTGGAGGGTTACTTATCATCCTGTTTCCTATTCAGTTTACTTGTCTGCAAGAGAAACTAATTTTCATGAACAAAAAGACCAGGTAATTGTTACACAGATATAGTCCGGCTTATGAAGACTCTTATTACCTTACTATAAACAATTGAATGTTGGAAGAAATTGTCAATGTATCAAAATATGTTCAGAAAAAATACTGTGATGGATGATTGTGAGATGTTTCTAAATCAGCTTCAGACACCCGTAACCACATGAGTTTTACACCCGAAGAAATGAACAGATAAATAGTGACTGAATCTCATTGTTTAATCATCCTGCAAAATGCTGAAGACCTCAGCTAACAACGAAGCACTGTTAGCTACTGTTGAGTACTTTAGTAATTGAGGTTGCCTATTACTGGGCATATTCAGAACAGAATAACAGCTGAAAGATAGTAACCTTTTTATAGCATTGAGTCCGTTTTTGAGATACTTCTGATAGAACTATTAGAGTAATTTACTAGAAAAAAAAGATTCATTTTGGATGTAAATGCCCTCCCCTTAGACAAGTTGTTGTAGATCAAAGAAAACATACAAGCAAACAAAATATGTAATTGCTTTGAAAAGTATCTGAATGTGATGTTGAAACAGTGAAATAAAACCCCAGCCCTCTCCATTCCGAAAACATGGAAATTAATAAATTCAGTTTTTCTGATTTCTCCCTATCCCCCTTCATGTCTTTTTGACTGAAACTATTAATCAGATTTCAGTCAGTGTTGTGGATAGTTTTGGATGCCTCCAGAGACTACATCTCCAGTGCTTCCTTCAAAGTCATTACAGACACTGAATGGAGACAGTGTAAAGAATTTGCTGAGTTGTAAACTCATGGTCTTAAATATTGACAAAGATCATGTACATATCAATAACTTGAGAAGGAGCAAAGCCTGAAAATTAATCTCTGCTGAAATAATTTAGTGGTGTTGTCAAAATTATAGTCACCACATTTAGGTGGGACACATGTTACTCAGCACCAGGACAGCAGACATTTGCTTTTAGTCACAGTGGCTCCAGAAAGCCATTGTAGCAGCTTTGCAAAGTTAGGGCAGACTACCCATCTACAACAGTCCTATGGATCTTCATCAGGTACCATTGTGATAAGTATCACAGTTTCAGGGGGCTTTACAGTTCCTCACATGTTTATCCTCATAATATTATTTTGAGCTAGAGAAGTGCTATCCCCATTGTGTTCATGGAGAACTCAGGAACAGATGATGGGAGAACACAGGTCACCTATATTCATTCAAGTTGGTCACCCAAGACTTACTTCATACCTTCACACTTCCTTTTAGGATGTGGTTCATCTGGTCTGTTTTAGATGAGATACACGATGTCTCAGAAGTTTCTTTGTTTCCCCTTGGGTGACTAGCTCAGCTATATGATTGTCAGTAACTCACCCAACCAGAGACGCTAATGGCCAGTAACTTAGAGTAAAAAGGTTTCTAATTTCTCACGCTCCTGTGTGCCTAAAAGCCTCATGGGTTTGCTTAGCATTGACATTGTGCTAGATGATACAGGAGAGCAGAGGTAAATACAGGTCTCAACAGTCTCAGTTTAATACCATACTCTTTCTGCCTTCAGTTCAAATTCAGTTGCTTCTACTGAAGGAGATACTTGTATAACCAGATTAATGAGTTTTGTACGTTCTTTGTGCTGCTAGACTGGGGTAGCTTCTGGCCTTCAGTGTCTGGCTCCCAAAGTTTACTACAACTACAGACAAACTCAATATACAATTCCAATAAATTATTAAGTGGGTTCACTGTTAAAAGATGTCCTTAACAGTAATACAGCTGGAGACACTATCTCATGATTGTTGGATCAGCTGCAAACTGTCTGCAAGGCATGTGCCGCCAGATGGGAAAGCTCAGCAGTGAGACACATTACCAAACACAGATGGGACAGATGTTGTAAATGTAGTGGGGAATCAAGAGTTCAGGTTCAATGTTCTCTGCTGACAGAAATGTCTTCTCAATGTGGTGCAGTCCTGGCAGTTAAAGCTTGGTCCCTAATAATAAAATATCGCCTTCAGCTCTTTCTTAATGTGAAAATATTCTATAGATAACGCTAGGTCCCCACATCCTGTGCAGCGTTTTGAGCTGCCACAGTAAAAGTGGAACAAGCCATGCTATGGGTGGGGGTGGTGAAAGTGACTGGCATAATCAGTGTAGAATTGTGATCTATCTTTGCATTTTTTGTACATATTTTATTTTACAGGTCACAAAGGGAGAGTCCTGCATATAGCCCTGAGCCCAGATCAGAGCAGGCTCTTTTCTGTTGCGGCTGATGGGATAGCTTGTCTGTGGAAATGCCATGAGTCTGGGGAGAGCAAGCACAGCAGCAAGGCTTTTTTCTAATGGTTATCTGAGCTCATTCTTGTGACTTCTTTTCCTTGAAAGCAAGTGATTAAATGTACTTAGCCCATTCAATAATTCAAAATATGTGTGCTCCTTCCAATGGAAACATGGCAAAAGATAGTACAATTTTTTCAACAGAAAGCAATTTTCCCCATCAGTCCATCATGTGAAATGTTAGTAGCTTGTCTTACTTTAAAGGAAAAATATTCTAACTCTGAAGAATAACACCATATTTATTTTCATTAAACTAGCAAGTATGGATGGAATCCATCTTGTGTCAAGTACTAGCATAAAGTCTTAGGTCCTACTTTTAGCTATGATTCTTGTAAGTAATTTTACATCATCTTAGCATCTCCATTGGGAACCACATGCTAATTCATGTAAATTGCCTTGAATCATTCAAAGGCTAGGATCAGCAGAGACCAGTCCAGGGGACTGTATTGTTCTATATGTCACATAGATCATGGTACAGAATATATCTAAATATTTCTAGAGATCTAGGTTAAATATATAACTGTAACTAAATATAAATAATTTCTTGGGAATTCTTTATTGTTTTTGTAGTGGTAATGATAACTAGCTTAATTAGAAAACTGTCTTTATTGGATTTTGAATTGTTTCCTTTCCTTAAACCCACCTACTGTGTTTGACAATGAAAATATAAATAATTGCATAATAATTCTATTATTATTGTTATGCATAATTATGGAATCAACTGGTTAATAAGCCAGATGGACATAGTCAAAGAAGCATGCTGTTTGGATCAAACACAACAGTTAGTTCCTTCATTCCTTAAGGGTACCAGTTTAATTCTGGGTGTCAGCAAACATGGCAGCTGTCACCCGTTTATGAGTTTTGTTTAGTGCTCACAAGGACCAAACCTCTTGGACTTAAAAGAAGTTTGCCTGTGTAAGACTTGTACACTGTCAACAGCTAAGTAAGGATGTCAGGATTGGTCTTCACATGCTATTCAGCTGCAACTCAGTAGTGCTATTCAAAACGTGTTCTATCCACAGACATTTTCAGAGCTTTGCTTTCATTATTAGGAATGAAGAGAGGCAGGGGGTAAGGATGCACTCTTGCATTTGTATATTAAAAGCCCTGTGAGCTCAGAAACTCATGTTGTTTGGATTTCTTTTTTTTTTCTGCTGGAAACTTATTTGGAATATTTCCTCTAGCTGGGGAAGAATGGGAGATTAGGGGAGTAGAGCAGTGTCAGCCTATGGAAAATTAAACTGTGAGCAAATGCATGAAAAGAGATGGGCAAAGTTAACAGAGGCACAGGTATCTCTGGAAATGAATGTGAAACTGTTGTGTCTTTAGTTCTCATGATTTTTAAAACCTCATCTTCTGCTGTTCATAAATCACGTGGTTGCTAACTTTAGGTCTGGAAGGTTGAGACCACTCATATTTTTTACCTAGTAAGATGTTAATTTACAATAAATCTGCTACTAAATCTGCTGGTTTCTGACGTCATCTCGTGTGGTCTTCAAAACAGGTTAGAAAATGGGAATGTTGATTATCAATTCAGAAATGACTACCAAGAAGCTTATGTCTAAGAATGGGAAATAACTTATACTGTGCCTGTCTTCTCATATGAGCATGTTGGTTGCAGCAGATTTTATAAAACATTTAGAGTCTGATTTAAATATTCAAAATAGTATTTTAAATAATTTAAAAATTTTTTTAAATGTTAAAAACATTTTTTCTCTTTTGAATGGTAACAAAGCAGTGGAATTACTCTCTTTGCTTTTGGATTCTCCCAGAAGTTCTCTCTCTTTCCTTTGACGGTGCCTAAATGCTATTGATTTGCCAAATAGAGGAAGAGATGTATAACACAGGATGGGGGGCTGTGGTGGGGAGGGAGCTGGTCAATATTGAAGCTAAGCATATTTTGTTGGATGCACAACTGTCAAAATAAAAAGATGCATTTCTTTCAGACCGAGAAGTGCTCATTTCTTAGTTAATTATGCTTGTTCATTATTGAGTGGTCAAGCTGTATTGCCCCAGAAGTATTATAATATCTAAAAGTGGGAGAAGTCACTGATTTCAGTAGAACTAACCAACAGCCCTTAAATATGAGAGAATCTTGTATGTGTGACAGGTAGCTCTATTCTGTGACCATGTCTGAGAAAGCACTTAAGCATGCATTTAAATTCCAGACTGTGACTAATCTGGAGTGAAATTAAACATATACTGGAGTGCCTTTTCTGGATGTGCTTCTTTTCTAGATAGGCTCCTTTACTGTCAGTTTCTTTCACATGGCAAGTATCTTTCTGTAAGAGGAATTTGAGGACTTGAGTGAGCAGCATGATTCTGTTTCATTAATCTTTTGCAGGTAATGTTGCTGAATACTTGCAGGTATGGAGTGTGCAGTTGCTGAAAGTAGATCATTGTTCTTGCATAGCTGCCTCATTCTGCCAGTGCAAAGGTCTTAACATATGAAGTCTTGGGCAAAATGTGAAATCCTGACTTCCTCCCTGTAGAATATAGCATATTTTTAGCTCATTGCCTGTTACATGCCTGGTATATCGTTCAGGCCCAGACTGAGACAGAAATCAGAACCCATTCTAAGAAGTCAGCTTGTTCTGCACCTGAGGTCTGTATGCACTAAAGGCGGAGCCTCCAGAGGTAGCACAGAGGATTAAGTAAAATTTAAGTTGCCTAAACTCAGGCTGTCATCCCCACAGTCCTGTCCAAGGTCGAGCACTGTACAACACATGGAATCCAAAACTTCAGGACAAAAATAATTTTTACAAGAGGAAAAACTTCATTGCCCATACAGGGCATGTGTCTTCCAAGGTATACCAATATGACAAAGTGATTGTCTGTAATGCAATGAAATGGATTAAAGAAACTCAGGCTAGGGAATCCTTTTGTTTCTGCACATAAATGCACTAAATAGTCTCTAGTAGACAATCCCCTGTTCTTCAGCCACTATATTATCTGACTTGATGCTACCTACATAAATGTTGCACTAATTTGTGTAATGCAGTTTATACTTGTTCATTTCACCCAGTTATCTCATATAACCACAGTGAGAAGAAATTGTTACCTTCTAGATGTCAAAATGACATCAAATGATCATTACATTTTTCTTAGCTAGTACATAAACTTGCATGGGCTCCATCCCATAGTGGTGGAGCTGTACTGGGAATGGGTTCATGCCTCTTGATTAGGGAAAGTCGCAGCCTAGATGAAAACTCAGTTCCATCTCCTTGCTTCTGCTTTTTTCCCCAGGTTTCCACTACTGGCAGTGGTGACGGAGGCTTGAATGTTTTGTTTACTATGTACGTCCAGTTCCACTGGCTCATTTTGCACAATTCACTAAATAACATGCATCTAAAAAAATAAGTTTTTAAGGTATTTTGGGGTAGGTCCTAAATTTCAAGCTAGAAGAGGAAGGCTGCGCGTATTTTCTTGCACATTTCTTCATGCATTGTAAACTCCTCCTCGGTCAGAACCTCTCCTTCCTTCTGACCCCACTTGAGTCAGAACTACTGTCTGAAAAATGGAGAAATGCTGAATGATAGGCTTTGAGTGGGATTTTCCACTGACAAGGATGCTGCCTGTGACTTCCAGGGAAGAGGAAGAAGCAGACCAAAGAGGAAGCAGTAACATGAAAAAAATACTATAGCAGGATGAAAGAGAGAGAGTGAGGGCAAAGATGAAAGAAATTAAGTAAGACTACTGTATGGGAAGAGTGAAATAGCCCTAGATGATCAGTTGTCTTGAAGATCAGCTACAGATTTTTCACTAGCTTGATAAGGATATATTTGTTTTCTGAAGGTTTTTAGAATAAGTTCTTTCCTAAGCAGGGGTTTGGTAGTTTGGAAGAATAGAAAACATCTGGACTTGTCTTACTTATTCCCTGTGTGTTTAAAGACAGAGTCAAAGTCACCACTTTGGGTGTCAGTACCAGTCAGTGGGCCAGATTCTCCTCTCAGTTTCACTGATGCAATCTGACTTGGCTGGGAATTCTCTCTGCTCCTGCTTTGCTTCTGTGTTAGTGTGTGCCTCTGTGCCTCTGTTTGTGTGCTTGTTTGTGTGTTCAGCCCGAGTCAGAGCAAACATTTTAGGAATAAGAATAAGGAATGTGAAAAATTCTGACTGTGTAACATTTGTAATGGACGGAAAACATAAAAGAAGATGTTCAGCATCAAAACTTTCAGTAAAGATCCCTGTAGTTTAGGCCTTCTCCTTCCTTCACCCTTCATTATTCCTCTATGACAAAACTACAGTTTCTTCTCAACAAGATCAGGTGAAGGCAGTTGTGTAAAAAAGCATGTCTGTATTTTCCCATGTTGTGTTTATAAGTGATGTTTAATTGTTTGTGAAGAACCGAGCAATCATTTTTTAATTAAAATGAATACAAGATTTCTCCACCGTTTGAACGTCCTCTGCTTTCTCTTAGCTAATGCCTACTTCCAAGTAAAAAAAACCCAGAGCAACACAAAATAAAACCAAGTCCTTTTTGAGGTGTTCATGGCATTGAAAGTGCCCAAGACTGTGAATACAGAGATGGGCAGAAGCATTTTTCACAATAGGTCTGTTTGCTGTTTGACAAGTGGTTGTTGAAGCACTTAAAAATTTCACTGCATATCTGAAACAGCAGTAGTGGCATCATGAAATTAAGATTGTTTTATGTTATGAACAGCGCTTTATCATACTGATACTCCAGCTGAGACACGTTCTGTCATTTCTCTGGAGGATGGGTTTTCAGCTCATTTTTTAACGTAGTGTTGCTGATCTTGGTGCATTCTGCAAACATATTGCACATCCAAAACATTATGTACACAGACTATCTGTACTGCAACAGACGGAGCTTTCCACATAAATTGACAGCTTCAAGCAGTAATTTTTATTGCCATTTCTTTATTAAATGCAAAGTATATAAAAGGATGAAATCAAGAGGTTTCAAATACAAGACAGTTAGGAAATGTACACTTATTATGTCCCACAATCAAATGCAGTCACTAAAACTTAATTTTCTGAAGCTA